TGCGGGTTCCGAGCGGGAGGTTCGGCCGGAGGCGGCGGCGGCGCCCGGACGCGCGGGCGGCGCGGGGTGGCTGTCGGAGGCGCAGCGTGGGAACCGGCGTAGGATCCCTGCGGAGACGCAATTTACTAAGCGCGGCCGGGGGATCTCCCGGGTCGACGCGGAGATGCCCGGCCGAGCCGGGTTTGTGGAGCGCGTGAGCCGCGGAGCGCAGCTCTAACCGCAGAACACCAGTGCGCTCTCGGCGTTCCGGCTGTCTTGAAACAAATCCGATGGCCTCGCTTCTCCGCTTAAAAAACCTTATAATATGAACCATAGGTTCGCTTGTTTGCGCCTGGCGTGTTTCCGGAGGCATGCACACAGGCAGCCTCGGAGAGAACTGGGAGGCTAGCAAACCAGAGGGAGGGAGAGTTTGCATTCAGTAATCCTTGGACCTAGTATGCTTTGGATTGTGGATGTTACCTATTAAGAATAAGCGCAATTTAAATTACGAAAAAAATTTGTTTCCAAGCATACATAGAATAAAATTCAAAATCCTCTCCCTAGCTTACGAGGCCCTGGATGACGTGCCTACCTCTGCAGTCCAGTCTTTCCCCCATCACTTCTTCCTTCACTAATCTTAGTCTCCACCCACTTAAAGTTTTACAGCCTCAGAGAACCTTCCCTTTAGTTCCTTCTTGACCCTCTGTCTTGTCACTCCATCAGAGGCCTTCCCTGACCCCATCCCAATCAGATCTGGGCCCTGCTTATTTATTTTGCCAGCCACCTGTTCTTTCTTTTCTATGCTTATCACAGTTTGCATATATATGTATACATATATATTTTGTGTTTATGTTTATCTATCTTGTCTTCTTTAGATTGTATGCTGCAAGAGGGGTCATTCTTATTGTCCCTCTGTATTCCATGCACATAGCAGGCACTTAATAAATATTTGTTGAATGATTGACTGACTGATGGAATGAATGAATGGGAAGTGAAATGAGGACAGTGACCATCCCTCCCACAGTGCTCCCTAGCCAAATACTAGAAAGCTGGTTGTGTCCTAGCCAACTTCCTGCTACAAGGAAATAATTGGGCAAACTTGGGAAGACAAATGATTTTTACACCATAAGAACTGTATAATTAATTCTATTAGCAAGACATATGGGCTTTTCTCCAAGTTCTCTTTTACCATTCATGCATTCAGCAGGGATATAGTGAGTATCCACTGTGTGCAAGCTGGGCTGCTTGTTTTTGCCCTAGATACATTGAAATGGCCAAAAATATTAAGAGGAAATCCATGGGTGGTGAGAAGTAAGATGTTTTTCATGCTTCTTTATACTTCTTTTTTTGTACTTATCAAATGCCGTACATTGAATATGTATTACTTTGATCTGAGATTGTTTTGTAAACTAGAATGGCATCAAAATTTTTATAAGAGAAAACATTTCAGAATGACATTTACCAAATATGTTAGTTGGACCAAATGTGGTTGATTACATACTAACACATACCCAATTTTTAAATATAGGACATTTTCCATACTAACACATTTTATTTTTATATAGGAAAAATATAATAAATTTAAGTTAAAAATGCTTAACTAATGACAAATGAAATATTACTTAATGCAGAATGCAATCTGTGACATGATAAGTGATGATGTGAGAAGCTAACTTCTTTTAAAATTATGTTGGTTCTGCAAGCAAGTATAACTGATGATTATGAAGAAATTAGTTTCTTCCTACCTCATTCCTAAGCAACATGATACCCACCAAAACAACAGCGAAACAACAAGCTCTGTTTCTTCACTAAGGGAAGCTTGGAAATTTGAGACCCACTGCCTATTTTAGCCTCCATTCCGTTTATCGTATCTATTCAAATCAAGACATCTTTGATTGTATGTACCACCAAGAAAGGAAAAGTGCTACCAATTAAACTATGATACAATGTGTGATCACATAGGATTTTTGTTTTATACTCATTGAAATGGTGTTTTTAGACTTGGATATAGATTTTTCAGTTAATTGCATATATACAAAAGTATAAGCAACATAAATCGATTAAAGTATTTCTAAAAATTCTGTACACTGAGTCTAATTGCTCTGAATCCCTTTTAACCCAGAGCATCAGTCTATGTGTTTTTCCACACATATCATTAATAGTGCACAATTTCTTAAAAGGGTGTTCTAGTCTTGTCTCTGGGATTTGCTTCCCAGCCACTGACACTCATTCTGCAAGCATGAGGCTGGCACTATCTTATGTGACTAAAAGCAGTTTTCTTGTTCAACTGAATCATATGTCATTACAAGCTATGCAACTTCTCTATGGCCAGAAGGAAATTTCTGACAAATTGAAGTTCAACGCTTTAGCTCTAGTCCTGTTTGACACATGAATTGGTTACATCAGCCTCGTTTCTTTGGAATTTCTTTCACCTAATATGACACATCTGGCAATTTCTGCTGCCTTTCATTGCATTTCTTGGCATATGAATATTACACATATAGTACTAAATTGCTTTGAATTCAGTGACACAATGACAATTCAAATAGTTATGACCATGTTCACAAATTCAGAGGCAATGCCAACTGTGCCATTACTGCCACCTGGCCAAAGTCTTATTTCTTTAATAATAAGACATATTCCAGTTTCAGAGATGTTAAAATGTAGGACCAAAGTGCATAGAACTGAAGAAATACTGTATGTAAAACTGTTAAGAATGCTACATTCCTCCCGGCCGGGCGTGGCTCAGCGGTTGAGCGTTGACCTAGGATCCAGGTGATCGGGGTTCGATTCCTGGTCAGGGCACATGCCTGGGTTGCGGGCTCAATCAATGACTCTCTCATCATTGATGTTTCTGTCTCTCTCTCTCCCTCTCCTTTCCTCCCTCTGAAATCAATAAAGATATATTTTTTTAAAAGTGATATATTCCAATGGTATATATATATATATTTTTTTAATTTTTTAAAATTTTAATTATTTTTTGGTTTTCTTGAGATATAATGACATATAACATCATATTAGTTTAAGTTGTACAGCATAATGTTTTTACATACATATGTACTGCAAAACAATTACCACAATAAGTTTAGTTACCATCCATCACCTCACAGTTATAAATTAATTTTCTTTACTAGAAATTTCTTTAAGAGAACGTTTATGATTTGCTCTCTTAGCAACTTTCAAATATACTATACAGTATTGTTAAGTAAAATCACCATGCTGTACATTACATCCCCAGAAGTTATCTTATAACTTTAAGTTTGTACCTTTTGATCACCTTTACCCATTGCCCCAATGATATATTGAACTATTAAAATACTCAATAGTATAATGCAGGATACCAGAGGCTGAGATACCAATTTTTGCATGACTTACTAAACAAATATGCATTGATCAATTATGTGTCTGGAATAATAATTAGGCTAATATGTATGTGCAATTTAACTTGTATTACTGCCTTACAGTTCTTTCTTTCTTTCTTTCCTTCTTTCTTTCCTTCTTCCTTCCTTCCTTCCTTCCTTCCTTCCTTCCTTCCTTCCTTCCTTCCTTCCTTCCT